GAGAGAGAGAGAGAGAGAGAGAGAGAGAGAGAGAGAGAGAGAGAGAGAGAGAGAGAGAGAGAGAGAGAGGTCTTACAAAATTCCGTAATCTAAAGTACGTTCATCCATTATCTCACTTCCGCTCTCGTTTGAGATGAGATCACCCTTCATTTGCAGATCTACAGAAAATCGGAATTGAACAGTCGCATCAGAAATAATTTGATGAAACCAGGGGATGTAGAATTGAAGACCCTGCCTTCCTGGGCAACATGCAACAGTCGGGCTTAGGAAACCATCGAGTGAACAGCAAGTTCTCACTGGCTATGCCTGCACTTCCCTCTCTCCTCAAGCAGAAGGTGGCCCCTCTATACAGTCTTCACCCGAATAGAACGCCTGGTCATTTCCGCTTCTTGTGGACTGCAAGTTGGGCCAAATGCAGCTGTAACGACCGGTCGTTCTATTCGGGTGAAGACGGTAGTCTTACCAAAGAGAAAAATATGATGAACGAGTCATGAATCAGGGTCTTGCCCCAACTCGTCACTTTTGACAAAGCTGCTGCTTGCCCCGGCGTACAGTGTCTGTCTAAAAGAAAAAGACTTAAAACTACCAGTCCCTCCGATACCCTACCAGCCCCTCCAATATCCAACCTTCTTCCCCCGAATACAACGTACAGTCATTATAGATACCCTAGATACAGCTATAATTACCGTACGTTGTATTCGGGGGAAGAAGGTAGGCAAACAGAGACAGTACTCGGAGGTAGAGGGGGTTCATTTTTGTTGCCTTCATAAGAGAAGAGTAGAAGAAAAACAAAACAACTGCACTTACCTTTGTTTTGTACCAGGTTCAGAACAAAACCAACTGGAACATGAAAGAAATACAGCAAAATAGTCGGGCAGGTTGTGGGTTCAAATCCCGCAATGCCGGCAGTTCTCCCCCCTCAGTCCAGAAGTCTTTGCGAGCATGACAAGTTCCTATTGAAAAGGGGTCATGCATAGGAGCTTGACATGTCCTCAGAGAATTTTGAATCGAGGGTGGAGAACTGTTAAAAAGGGTTCTGTATCTTCCTGGAAAGGAAAAAAAAGGGGGTCTGGCATTAGCGGTGAAAACAAAGCAGGGAATTGCGTAGTCTGGGGTATACGGTTCACGATGTATACAACATGAAATCCGGAAATTGCAGGCTCTAGAATCAGCTGCTGCGTCTGCTTTTTTGGAGTCACGTCTTGTAGTGGGCAAGTGCCATCTGCATTGCATCAATGCGATCGATGCATTTGTTGTCCTCCTCATCAGGGTAGTACTTGAACTTGACCCCGTTAGATGACACTTGGTCGCCCTCGTTGCTGCTGCACTAGTAGCCTTTGGTCGACGATTCTGTGAAGGGCGACATATCCATCCATGCATGGTGGGAGTCTGCATATTCCTCTTGCTTGTGAGTTTTGAGCCCGAGTAAGGCTTGAATTTTGAGGCGTGAAACACAGGATAAGTCCCCAGATGTAGAGGTAAGAAGGTCCATCCGGATTATCACCAACAACATGCGCTGTGTCCAAAGGTCCGTACGAGAATGCTAGCACCTTTCTCCAGATACCTTTGTCAAGTGCAAACTCATCTATGCCCACCCATACCATGCCCGTCTCCTCGGCGCTTATTGGCTTGATCAGCCATCGTGTGTTGCGCTTTCCGCGTATTCCTGATAGTGTGTTGGCGTCCTTCAGCAAAGTGCATGGTGAACTCCCTTGTCCCATGAGCGCTGTTGAGCTGCTGATCGGGGGCCAGAAAGTCCACCGGCATGCAAGGATGTATTCCTTGGTGCAGCTTGACAGA